AGGGGGAGGGGGAGGGGGGGTACAACAACTCCAGGCGATTTGAAAATCTACGAGTCGTACCCTCCACTACGGAGTCATTCACCCGTCGGTCATCGTCGCATCAACACTTTGTTTTTTTTTGTTTATGTTTTTTTTTTTTTTTTGACACCCTAGTGGTCAGTTGGTGCAACAATTAAATCACTGGAGTGAATGGTGATTCTGTGATTCCGTGACATTCTGACATTCAGTGAACGAAGTGACATATTTTTTTTTGTGAACTATGAATTTAATTTTTTTCTCCACTGGACTCCAGTTTTTTTGGTAATTTTTATTTCACGGGGTTCTCTCTGGATTGACTGGCACTCTGCGAGAAATTGAAAGAAAAGGTCAGTTGAATGTGATTATTTGGTTTTTATTCAGTGATTTGAGGGGGGGTGGGGTGATGAGAGGGCGTGCGTGATAATTAATTTAACCGCTGCCATCGATTAATTTCACGTAATTTGTGGCTTAATGGGGCGCGAGTGGCATCTGCCATCGGTCGGAGGTGAAGAAAATACAAGTGGAACGGGGGAATTATTTTTTTCTTCGGTGTGTGTATTTGATTTATTATTGTTCAGGGGTTTTATGGTTTATTATCTAATTCTCGGCGCCGTCGGTGCGGAATTCATCGGACATGTCAGGATTTTTCGTGGATTTATTCCGATTTCTTGATGAAAGGGCTGCACACATGACGTAATCTGGGATTAATAAGACGTTTTAATCCCTGCATTTTGTCGCTCGTTTTAATGACGGGAAATATTCACAATTCTCGACATGATTTAAGACCTCGTCAGTGTCTTAAATTTTGATATTTGAGGGACTGATATTTTCTTGCGTGAATAATTGATGGATTATCGTAAAAATGGCTATTAAATTTCATTTAAGACGTCTTAAAATCTCTCAATACAAGACACAAGCTTCTGCAAAATTCGCGACACCCTAAATAAACCCCTCAACCGAAAATTTCAAATTAATTCTCCACCCCCGAGAGAAGATAAAAATCGGCTGATAATTCGCGAATGAGTACGCAGTCCGGAGCATCTCCAATAAATCCTCCGAGATCACGCGATTCTGGATTGGAAATAGAATCAAATATCGAGTGAAAGGTATAATGGAATATATACCGTAACGAAATGCAACCGACGTAGGAAATGAACAATGAGAACAATAAACAAAATGTCAACATAACACGGTAATATCGCAATAACACCCGCGTGTACCGATGTATTTGTTTGGGGGGGGACAAAGGGGGGTCGATTACTAGTGCGTCACGAAACGTCGAAAAATTTCGTCAGAACGGAAACTGCCATCTGACCAACGTAACCAGATCGTGACGATGACCGCCCGGGGAAGAACCCACTTTGGATAGATGTAATTAACAATCCGACCGATTGTTCCGGGGGACGTTACGCTGATGGGTAATTAAGCGATATGGCATGATCAACAATGCGAGAATAACCGGTCATACGATTATCGAAAGATTATTTTTTACATCACCTTTCGTTCCAGAAAATTTTATCTTGAAATCCCAACAACAAAGTCATCTGAATTTTCAATTATATGATAATTCATTTTTCATATAAACTGTAATTACGGATTAATTATAAATTTTCGTTCGTAAGAAAATCGGTGGACAATCCGGAACTCCACGAATAAATCGGTGACAGAAAAAAATTTTATTTTTGCTTTCACACGTAGTGTTCTGACTGTAAAAATGAAACAATTTTAATAGCCCTGGGATCCATAATAAATACAAGAAAAAAGTTGGAGCTGTAAAAAAAATGTCGAAGATTATTGCGATGATCGATTTTTTTAGAGTTGACTCGGGTCTTGGACCCGGTGAATTGCCCCGCATCTTGGGTAAAAAAAAATATGGAAATGGTGAAAAAATGAGGAGAAAAGGGCACCTGAACCCTAAACGAAATGAGTCCAGTGCCCCATAAAACGAATGACGGTTAGTTTGTAAAAAAATTACAATGGGCGATTTTTTCCACTCTCCAAAAAGTCCGAGGAAAAATTCAGGTCCCATTGTAAAACCGCCCCCATTGGCTACTTGGGGTGTGAGCGCCACTAGAAATACCCCCCTCCCCTCTCTCTCCTCCCCAACAACGGGCCCCAATATATCCTCGATTTTTTTTTACGTTCAGAAATGGCACGTGGGTTCAATACAATTTTCACTTTTACAACCTGAGGTAATAATGGGCGCAGAGAAAAAAAAATCCAAGTCCATTTTTTAAAAACCGACAATATTTTTTACGATTATTGCAATGCATTCCGAATGTTTTCAAATGTTTACGAAAAAAAAATAGATTTAATCTGCGGAAAAGAAATTCAAATTCGGTCCAAACTCAAAATTTACTCATAAAAAAAAAATCAAAATAATTATAATAATGAATAATTATTTAGATTCGGTGAACTATAATCGGTGAAAAATAATTTTTTATAATTAATGAAAATACGAATTTCACCTTCCAATTACGCAATAGTTTTGATAATAACATGGACATAAATAAACGAAGGAATAATTTATAGCATTATTATTCCTTTATCGGAGACAGCGATTCCTCAGTGGAATAGGTAAAGGGTAATTATTACCGAGAGGAATTTGCATAACCCTCGATTTTTCTCGACGCGATCGATAACCGATGGCGGATCGATCTGTTGATTCTGCGGATGATACCGAAGTCATGCAGAACGCAGGGGGATGCACCGGGTAAGGCTTGAAAAAAAAAATAAATAAATAAATAACTTGAATATTTCGTTACCAGGGAGCTGCAATGATTCTCACGGCTCCAGTATTATATCGCGCAACCTCTTGCCTCTTGGCGATTCTTGATCTCGATCGTCGGCATTCAAGAGCTGCTCCTCCAAAGATCCGTGTGTATGAACCCATTTCGTTTCAGATAAAATGGCGAAAAAACAGATCGCTCTTACCCTCATCATCATCCTTGAATTCTCAGTGAAGTGCAAGGATGCGGTCTTCACGAATTATTAAAAAGTCAATTTAAAAAAATATATCAAATACCTAATCTTGAAATAAATCTAATAAAATTATCTTCCGACCAAATGATATTAATATTAATAAGTAATGATTGTTTATTATTGACTCGTAATTGTTTTCCGAGATAAATAAAAATCGGTATAGCCCTCGATTTATCTCCAACCCCGAAGTTATCGTCATTGGGACAATTGCCAAGAGTGCAAGCCCAACACCTGCGATTCACCAGGACATTTGCCAATCCACTGACAGCAAAAAAAAAAAAATATATTGACCGGATACGCACCTGCGATTCCAGAGTGCGGGTAGGATAATAGACGCGACGCACGTGTGTGGGTCGCTAAGAAAATTTCATCCATACAAATAAGTTTTGAGGAATTTTTCCATCGGTAAAATAACGTTTTCTCTGCTTAACGCGGATGTAAATATTAGACGTGGGTAAAAATTGTTTTAATAGGGAGCATTAATTTTTCAATTGCACATCGAAGCTCAAATTGATTGTTATTGCACCTGCAGTCGACGCACCGGGAAATTTCATCCGGAATTTTAATAATAACGAGATATTTTTCCTGTTTATTCAATTTGTTTAATTCAATTGCATAAATTTTTTCATTACGTTTTTCTAACGTTTCATTACTAATTTCTTCCCACTCCTACAATTATCTAATTATTATATTCAATAATAAAATAACTTATTGTAATATTCCAATATTTAATAATTATTATGATGTAATTATTATCATTATGTTATTGAGATAGAAATTGGAAGACTGATTTTTTTTTGGAGATGATGAAAATGGTTCTGGAAGTTGACACTTTGATATTTTTTTTCCTGGAAAATTTTCTCGGCTCATCTTTGGACTGGATGAACCCATGGAGGTATTTACCACATGGGTGGAACAATATGACCCACATATGAACTTTCATACGTGACAGCCAATCGCTAAATGGGAAAGTAAATTCCCAGCTAATGGAAGAGACATCGGGAATGTTTGATCAGGCAAATGTTGTGGTACAGAGACTCGAATGACTGTTTCCTGACCTACACCCGACACTCAGTAATTGACGACTTATTCTCATTCGGTGACAGATATTTTTTTTATCACCGTGGAATTTTCCACCGGTCAAAACGATTTTTTTTCTCACTTTTCCGCTCGTTAGTTTCATCGCCTCCAATTATTTCCACCGATTGCATTAACAAAAAAAAAAAATCGGTAATTAAATATTTAATTTATTTGAGGAAAAAATAAAAATAGGATTGAAAAATAATTGGAGAAAAAAAATTCATTCCAAATTAATAAAAAATATAAACGAGATAAATATTTTTTTTCTCCAGCTGAATTGAGACGGTTTGAGATATTTTTGAGAATATTCTCGAAAGTATTAATTTCTCCGCGTGGTTTTAATTTTTTTGGTGAATTTTTTTGGGTCGACGCGGGAGAATTTCGTAATTTTGTGCGAGTGGATGAATTTGCTCGGGAAAACGCAAACATTGTGACAATTCCATCGATCACCGCAGCTGGATTTTGTAACAATCCCGGGGCTTTCGAGATAGAAAAGCGGATATAAAAGTTATCGTAATCACTGCGGTTTTCGATCAAGTGGTCTCCGGCGTTTCCATACGACTGATTCAATGTCTTTATTACAGCATTCCTATACATTGGATGGATGAACTTTATTTGGCCACACGGAGAGAAATATTTAATAAAAATTACATATCTGTTCCGTGATTAAAGAAAATTTTATGGAAGTGTTACGGAATTTTTATTTGAATTTTCTCAATGCCATGCAGTGATTTATTGATCAATATTAATTTATAGTATAATTAACGCTCCATACGAATATTTTGTTAATTATTTTTTGCAGATGAATCAACAGTGCAAAGTTTGTGGTGAGCCAGCAGCTGGTTTCCATTTTGGTGCATTCACGTGCGAGGGTTGCAAGGTGAGTAAACAAAAAATGATTAGATTATTTATTAATGAAATGTGTGGCATGGCGGAGAGCGAAAAAGTTGTAAAAATAATAAAATGAAAGAATCGAGCAGAATGACCGCTTGCTTTATCGTAAAGGCTGTATTTCCTTACTGGATGTCGCAAAAGCCACAGAGCAATCGCTTTCACGACCCGAGGTTAAACGTTTGGTTAGGCATGCGTGTATGACCCCTTCCCAGTATTTGAATTGAAAGAAAATCCAACCGACAGAGAGTAAAAGAGAGAGACGATAACTCCGGGCTCGATAAAATTTACCATCCCTGGCGCAAATTCCAATATTAATTATCGGAATTAAAAACCCGGGGATTTATAAATCATACGATAATATGAGGATTAATGATTCACCGTGTGTGAGGAATAATTGCAACAATAATACTGGACATTGCTAATTGTTATTGCTTATTTATTCTTTTCCGCGGAAAAAGCGAAATTTTTGGGAATTTTACTCAATCATTCGACTAAACTCATTTTTTTTATTCATAATTATTTTGAAGGAAATAAATTATACATTTTTATCAGGACTTGTTTTTTATTTATTCTCATTTATTGCGAATGCTCCTCAATTAAAAGTATAATTATGCAAATGCAAGTAAAAAATTATCTGAGTTGCGATAAAAAAAAAAATTCTAAAATTCAGAGAAAATATTTGTTTAAAAATTTTCGATCGCTTGAATATCCCAGATATTAATTGCCTAGTCATTAGAGAAGTCACGTGTAATTTTCCAAGAGTACATTAGATGTAAATAAAATAATCATCAAGATAATCTGGAGTAATGATCGAGATAAAGGGCCTCGTGCTCCACATAACCTCGAAAATCTCATAAATATTCCCATAAATGCCATCAGCAATGAAAGTGGGAGATTTGACATGCTACGATGGGCCTGAAAATGAAAATAACGAAATGAAAACAATGTCGCGGATTGCGCAATGGTTAACTAGGGCGGAAACAATTGTGGCGGGCAAGTGCGAAGCGCCGGAAGAACTATTTTCCCCACCATCGTGATTTCATCTGTAGATGCCCCTCACCCATGCCATAACCATAAAAATCTAATTTTTCCGGTGTTGAATTGGATTAGAGCTCATTCAAATTATTCATGAGGATTTCTTTTTCACAATCCTCCAAGTCCAAGCGTTTTGGACTATGAACTTGCAGATCTGATCCCGAAGAAATATTTTTATTTCTATCATAAAAAAAAAACATCAATCATTTCATTACCCAGAGACATTTCAAAAAAATTATCGAGTTGTGTAGAAAATTGAAAAAGAATGATGATTTAAAATATTTTATAATCCTAAAATGGAAATTTTACTCGAAAGGAAAATTTCCACGGATTTCCCTCGGAGGTTTCATTAAATTTGGCAGCGAAACGCGACCGAAAACTCGGGCACGAGGTTAAAGCCTCTCTCGCGCATTGCCATTTATTTTTTCCTCCAGAAATTGCATAACGGCTACTTAAGTTGGGTACAAGTTAGTTGTACATAATAGTGGCACTGTTTTTTCACGATTGTGTCATCGGGGATTCAGTTGTGAACCGAAGAGCGTCATGTCATGCGTCGCGGTGGCCGTTAGACCGACGCCAGACATTACGCGGGAAAATTGACAGATCGTATCGCCAAGTGCCTGACGATTATTTCCATCAGGAATTCCCCAAAATTCCATTTTCCATTTTCACCTGCATTTTCCTGACCCAAATAACATCACTAACAGCTCTGATTTTATTATTCACATAGCGACATTTTCGAAATGATCACTTGGCCGATACGTTACCGCGTATCTCGACCCGTCGGTCAAAGAATATTAAATTTTTTTAATTCCCTGAACAATAAAATGGAAATAAAGTGAGATAAATTGATCCCTCAATTGACTGAAATTTTTCAATGCAGCGGAATATTTTCAAAAGACTTTCATCTTTGAGGGTTTTCCGGGATTTTTCCAGATGGTGAAAAAATGTTTTCCTCAGCGATTCCACATTCACTCTCGGAGGAGACCACCTTCAACCTAGTACGCGTCTATGAACATCGGGGACTGTTTGAGCGCGGGAAGAGGCCTCCTTTCAGAAGGCGAACCGACCGGAAACTATTAATAATAATCCACACACGCGCCCGCGTGGCCGGAAAAAAAAAAGGGAAAGCGCAGGAAAACGACGAGGTCTTGTCATGGCTGCCTAACCTACGTTATTTTTCGCATCAGCGCCAGATAAGATTAGAGATTTGTCCGATGCGAAATTGCAAACGAATCCAAACCCATCATGAAGAATATTTCAAAAGCCATATAAAGCGACCGTCTTTCAATTTTTTTTTTCAGCGACGGAAATCTGAAGAATTTTTTTCACCAATTTCTGGCCCTCCAAATCGTCACCATTTTTTCTCTAACCTCTTGCCCCAGGACATTCAGTTGCACTCAGATATTTATCTATCCGGTTTCTTTATTCCTCATTACAGCCTCCCCCCTCCCACGCCCCCCCCCCATTTTTCCATTGTTCCATCGCCGACGACCGTGTCCCTCTTAACCGAGAAAACGAAAACTGCAATTACTTTGTTTACCGCGTGTGCCACACTCGCACGGCAATTTGTATCAGCGAAAGAATAGAGAATTTCGACCAACTTGGTTCTCTCCTCACTTATCACAGTTTTTGTCTTCTTACGGAGTCGGAATCTCTCGATTGCACCATGTACAACAATTAGGGTTCGAAGACACGAAACACGAGTATTGCAGGACAACTAGCGCGGGCGCACGCGCCTTGAGTTGATTCCCCTTCATTCTTTTTGTTTCACTAGCATGTCAGCACCGATGAATGAGACAATGAGAGCGCGATTGCAAGAAATCTCTAGCGCAAAGGGGCCCGAGGTTACGCGATACTACAACTCGTCGTAATTGGATGGTTTCTGGGCCTCTGGGGCACGAAAATTTCGCGTCTCTAATACAATAACATCCGAAAAAAAAAAACCAAAAACAATGTCACCTAACCGTACAATTACTCTTCTTGTTCTTGCAGTCATTCTTCGGGAGATCCTACAACAACTTGAGCAGCATTTCGGAGTGCAAAAATGGCGGCGAGTGCGTGATAAACAAGAAGAATCGGACAGCTTGCAAGGCGTGCAGATTACGAAAATGCCTGCTAGTCGGGATGTCGAAGTCGGGATCGAGATACGGGAGAAGATCGAATTGGTTCAAGATCCATTGTCTGCTGCAGGAGCAGCAACAGCAGCAGCAGAATCAAATGACAGCGCAAAGGCATCAGGCGAGTGCTATGAGTTCGCCGATTGGTATACACACGACATCCAGAAGCAAAGAGGACTCTGTGATGCTGGGACTGGATGATTACAAGAACTCGACATCACCGTCGATCAGCTCACCGGAGTCTCACAACAGTGACAGCTCTGTTGAGGTCTCCGAGAGGAGAGCAGCCTACGGCCTGCACCCTGGCTTCAGGCCACTGCATCCACACCTGCCACCATCGGATTTGTCAGCGCTTGGGAAGGAGATGATGAGCCTTCCTCTGGGCTTTCATCTGGGTGGAATGTCCTTGATACCTCCGACCTTCCTGCCACCCCCGAGTCTCGCCATGTTCTCACCCTATCATCTTTATCCAGCGCATCACGGCCTCGTTCCAAGTCACTCTGTCAGATCACCACTTGGCAGCAGCAACACCACCACCATCGGTTCCAACGACGACTGCACCAACAACAACAACAATCGATACACCGTTGACAATAATAAATCTAAAAGTAATGACGACTCGAGTGTTCCAGACACCTGCAACAAGAGGTTCTACTTGGATGCTGTGCTGAAGAGCCAGAGGACAGCGTCAAGTCATTCGCCGATCTCTCAAAAATCGAGATCAGCTGAGCAATCACCGCGGACAAGTCCAGACAGGGACACCCTCCCTCAGGACAATCCCATCGATCTATCCATGAAGGCTAATCTCATAAGTCCCAGTGATGATTCTGACGAGGACATCGATATGGAGGACAGCGATCGTGAGAGTCCGCCCCTCAAGAGGCGACCGATTGATCTGACAACGAGATCGTAATAACACGCCAGAAGGACATGATCATCACACCTGCATAATGCGATGCATGCTAATTTCAATGAAATCAATGTCTTTGGCTGGTTAATTAGCCATCGCCGAGAGATCTCAATGAGGATAAACACGGTGGTTAATGTTGATGGTTGTACGTTGGCACGTGTTGAGTACGTGTTACAAGAAGCTGAGGTACACGTGTCCCATGAATGCATCCACGTTTTATCTTGCAACTTGGGGAGGGCTTCGATTCCCTGTCGATGTTTTTAAACGGTACACCTTCATCGGGACCATCTCTGTCTCGTTGATTTTGTCCCCTTATTCTCCCCATCGTCTGGTAGAATTACACCATTCAGATTGATTCTGATTGTCCAGTGTCCTCTGGGGATCAAAGCGATGGCAGGTGATGGTTCCAGGTGATGATTCAATGGGGCTCGTCGAGGAGTTAACGTTGAAACACTTGTCTTCCTGCTGGTAGGAGGGGGTTATGAGCTGGACAATACCTTTGCCACTGCGTTATCCGTGGACACGAGCTCATCTTGCCTTTACACAGGTTGGCTTTTAGCGGCTTGTACTTGTTTAGCATTTTTGCTTCTTTATTTCTCGTTTTTTTTTTCTCATTCCCTCACCAGTCTTGGTTTTTTAACTCATACCCTGGGCGGAATTGCCTTGGAACATGCGAAATAGCTCCATCGCAGGATGACCAGGGCGATAGCGAAGGGCTGGCCAGAATATTGAGGTTATAGTGTGCAATTAATCCGGGGATTCCCCGAAAATTTGTAAAGGTTAGGGTTAGATTAGGTTTGACGGATGAAAAATTGTGTAAATAAGGAGTAAATTCGTTGGGACCAAGGCCAGTTAGTTTTTTCTTTTGTTTATTCAGGTGTATATATTAGTTGGATCGATTATATCGCATCTGTTTAGTTGTAATCATTAATCAAAGTATAATTATGGAGCGTCCAAAGACGCGTAATTCAATCGCACTTTGTATTTAAGATGTTTTATTATTTTGTATGATGATAAATATATGAAAAATAGTGAAACCTGTTTAGTGTCGCTGGTGGATGATTTTATTGGACCTGTCGGTGATGGTGGATGAGTATCTTCTCATTAGAATATGTTGATTATTTTTATCAGTTGTTGAGATGTTATCTCGGGTGAATAAGAATAGAACTCGACGTTTGACTGTTCCATCTTGGCACGGAAATACGAGGTTTGCGTGTGAACCTAACAAGTAAAAGGTTACGAGCATAAATAGGCAATATAATGAAGCACGGGGTAAAGATGGCCGGGGTACTAACTCATAATGCACCCAAGAGCCATGAATATTCAACGTACACGCAGTATAAATTCCATCCTTACCTCTTTACCTCTCCCACCACCAACTTGTCTTGTACACCCAATCTCACGTACAAAACATACGTATGCGTATAATTCACGGATACATCTATATAACCCAGGCAATATCCGCGCTACGAGAGGTAGAATAAATGATTACGGCTCAAATATCAATTAGAGTTGGTCACAAGTGCTTTCGCGCTTTCCAGTTCGTCTGACATCTATCTGTACTGCATTCCTATCGCCGATTACTTTATTCAGGATGAAAAATTTTATCCCGAGACTTTTTTATCGTCGGCATTTTTCCTCTCAGGTCCACTGCCAGTGGTTTGGTTTTTTTTTTTTTTTCATTTTCATCATCGATTTTTTTTTTAAGGTGAGAGGATTTTTTGAGTGATTCTGAGATGATGAGAAAAATAATTCAATAATCGTATTTATGGGTAATCAATTTTCTAATAAAAAAATTATATTATAAATTGTGAATAAATTTTTCGAAATCTGAAATTTGGAAAAAATTCGGATATTTCAATAAAAATAGAAATAGAAAGTGTGGAAATTTCGTTTTATCGTAAGCAAAATTGTAACGTTCGTTAAAAAATGGGTGAAATGATTCGTCCAGCAGAAAAAAGCGATGATGATGGATGGAGTCTAGTGCAGAAGTTCAGAACGTGTTCTTTGTAGCAATCAAGTATTTTTTCGAGCAGCTATTAATTTTTTCATCGAGTGGAATGAGAAGCTATTATCTTCCGTATTTTCCCGGGGCCTTTTTTTTTTCAACAAAATGTTTTTCCCCACCCGCGAGACTCATAGCTCTGTTATGTGTTTCTCGAATATAAATCCGTGGTTTATGTGACCACAGTTCACGCGGGGTTACCGTTGGGGTCTGAGTTACGGTTCACCTCGCATTATTAAACCCTCACGAATACATCACTCGTATTTTCCCGCCTTATTTTCTCCCCCCATGGCGTGGTGCCTTTTTTTCAATTCTTTTTTTTTTTCGGGTATTTTACTCACTCTTTGAGGCGATTTTTTTCCACTCCAACTACTCCCACGCGACGAATATTACTCACTACCGAATAATGACCGGGTGATTGGTGTTGCCGTGTTTTTCGAACTTGTATATTACGGTATACGTGTTTATACATCGCGTGCATTCCCTCCCCCCATTTTTTGTCATTATTTTTTTTTATTTGTTACATTTAACGTGAGAGAGGGAGAGATCAAGGCTCCAGGGATCGTTGAGTTTTATTCCAGATTTTTATTCCATGAGAAATTGATTGATATTTTTGGAATATATTATTCTCTTTTAATTTTATTACTCAAACTTTAAAATTATTATAAAGACAGCCTTCATTAATTTCGTCTACCAGTAAAAAAAATGAATAAACAACGAATTAATTATTATTTTTTGGAGTTATCAATTTTTTATCTGGCGGTTTAGGAAATGAAATATTTTCCGACTCGAAAAAGAAATGGAGGCTTTCATTTGAAAGCGAAAAACTGAAATTGAAAAATTTTGGAGGAAATTTTCTCTTATCTGTGGAGAAAATGGGGTGAGCACTACAGACACACCCTAGAATGGGAATTTTGGTGTTGGTAGCTTTGCAGGTTGTGGGCTACGACTGATAATTTATGTGGGCCCGGTTACAAGTGGGCCGCATTCTCCACAACCCCCGAATGGATTTTGACTCTGGGTCCAGGACTATTACTTATCAATTAAACCGATTTATAGGCTCTAAAGGCGTCGCAGGTCCGCCCGGGGGGGCCCTATCCGGACCCAGAAAATTGCACCGTCAAACTTGGCTGGCCCCTGGCATGTACAAAGGAGTTAAAAAATATTTTTTAACTCCTGGCCCTTTTTGGGGAGCGTTTTTATGGGTTTTCACTTATTTTATCATCATTCTGGCTCCACTAGATATTTATTCGGGGCGGGTGAGTTTAATTTTTCGTCTCTTTGTGGTCAGCCCTGAACATATACAAGAGACAAATATCTCTCAATCTTCTATATTACGAGGCAACAAGTTGCTGTGGAATAAATTTATCGTTTTATGCCTTTCGGGCATTACAGTGTATCACTATTTTGGTTTTGTTCGGGTGAATCAGGGGAATTCCAATTCTTCTGCGCATAAAATCCGAGTTTCCATTAACTCATTGAAAGAAATTACTCCCGGGAATTTTTGAAACTTTTTTCGCAATTTCCGAGTTTATATTTTTTATTTCAGTCATTTTTGAGAAATAATTCATATGGAATATTGAATTTTATATTGAATTTTGAGTGAAATTCTGGATTCTGAGTTTTCAAAATTTCGGTGGACCTCGATTTACGCAAAAATTTTGAATAGATCCGTGGGAAAGTGTCCAGTCTAGGCCTCACCATTTTTTTCGATCAAATAATCATAAAAGCTGAAGAGTTAGTACATTTGTATGCAAATATAAAGCCATAAATCATACGAATGTTAAAAATGCATTAAATTATTAATCCACGAGATACGATAGAGCGATATGCGTTATTTACAAGGATAATCCCGTTAAGAAACCTCGCTTAAAATTACAATAAAATATCTTGGTCGATTAATTCACTGGAGAATTATTTCAATGTCTTTCACTCCTCGATATTTCCGGAAATTCTCCAATACTTCCAGTTTCCAGTTTTCTCCAGTCATAGGGATTCAAGTATCTGTTTATTTACAGTAAATTAAAAAATTATTGAGAATTGTGAAAAATAAAAAAAAATTGGTTTTGAAATTCAAAATAATTTGAATTCAAAATTTTTTAATTCAAATTCAAAACAGCTACTTTAATCCGTCTCTTTCCACGATTTCGCTATTCAATCAATAATCTCCATCATCTTACGGTATTCCTGGAATTAATTAATAAAAATCCACGGAACTCGTGTGAACAGACTCAAACGTCATTCACATGCCTCCAAAAATTCTGGTCTGATTCATATTTCGATAATTCGTATTTCTCAATGATAATCTGAAACCACTCGATAAATTCTCGGTCTCAAGACATCAGGCAAAATTCTTTAGTAACGAGCGGAGAAATCTGTGAGCTATTCCAATCAGAATTTTTTAAATCATGCAATTTATTTTATTAAACACATTTCCTGGATTTATTTTTCAATCAAAAAAATAAAACGGAAAGATAAACCTCGTAAATAAATAAGTGTTAATTACGTTCTCTATAATTTTTTAATTATTTTTTAATTGACATTAAATTTCAGAGTAGTATTATTTCAGAAAATGGACAAAAAATGGGATCAGTGCCTGTCAGATTTTGGGGGAAGATGATTGAGTGTGAATACTTCGTAGTCTACAACGTTGAAGTGATAATCACCCATTAAAATCGTGTTGGAAGCGTTTTCACCGTCGTAACTGTGGGGCAAATTACTATAGCTCTCCAGATTGTTATTGCAGTTGTTCGCGATCATCAAGTCTGCACCCGCTCCAAATATGGGACCAATGCTGCAATAAACAATACGTTGTTAAAAGCGAATGAAAATTCATGGACAATCGATTAAAAAATTCTGAGACTGAAATTCTTCCTGGGAATCCCCCACACATCATTTTTTAGAATCAGAAAAATTCAAAGCCATTACAATACTTGATATCAATAACCAAATTAATTCAGGTAATTAATCTATCAATTAATTAATTAATTCTGGAGTAATATGAATTTGTAAAGAGAAAAAAAATTGAAGTTTCGTGGAGAATTAAAGGAAAATTTGTAAATGATGTAAAAAATCAGGGGTTCTTCATGATTTTTTATTGAAAGTTGATAATAATGGGAAATCATACTCTGGGTGATAGCAGATGGCGAAGGATTTTTTGATCAAGTCGTATTTCGTGGGGGGAACGTCTTGATTATTAGTGAGTGTGAAGAGAAAAGCCTTCTCGGAGGATATGTATTGACCCTTCGTGGTTGTCTTGTCCCAGGCGACATCGCTGAACCCTCCGCAGATTTCGCCACGTGTTCCCTAAAAAATAACCGATAAATTCTGTAGATTTTCAACTGATACATTTATCAAATCTCCAAATACTCCAGACAATCACCAAAGCTATCGTGAATGTAGGGGCGATGCCATCGCAGTGACGATGAAAAGCTGCAGCTGAATATCCGTGATTCGATGCTCTGAATAATAAAATTCATCATGAAGTTTTTTTTCTTCACATTTTGATATTCATTACCTGTAAATCAGTCTCCAATTTTGCTTCGATATGCCGTACCACTGGTTTAAGAGTCTCTGATACCCCATTTTATCTTGTGAGAGGATTTGGGAGTTTGGGAACATCAGGGGACCGACTCGAGGCTGAAGACGTTTGTCTGTACAATTCTCCGCGTATTTATTGGGAACTGCTGCAAATCTGTATCTAGAAAAAACATAAAAGGAATTGAACAATGAATTAATTAGAGCACTGATTATTATTATTGTAATTAAATTATTAATTATTGTAATATTCGTAAAAATATTACCTCTCGAGGGATAGCTCAATGGGAACAGCTCCAGTGGGTTCGACCTCTTCAGCAAATACATGACTGTCGATGAGGAGAAGTCTCACGTGATTTATCACTCCAGCAAGGTGTTGACAGACTCTAGCTCGTTCTTCCTCAGTCCAGTGTTGAGTTGGCTGGGTTACACCTGCCTGAGAAGACAGTAAATTCTCATTCACTTAAACGAATTGTCATTTCTGTGGGAAGAAGGGAAATTTCAGGAGCTACTTTCACCAATTGGCGGTGAAATTTTCACCTGGTATTTAGCCCAGTTCAGAACAGCCCTCCAGACGTCTTCCTCTTCCAGCCCCAGATAATCCGATGAGATCAATTTAACAAGTGCATCTTTCGGAAGATTGCAGAAGGCTGTTGTCTTCACGGTGTCCAGAGCATTCTCTCCGATGAAGGTGTAGCATCGCTCGATGAATGAGGAACAGGCACCCTTGCCACCTGAATATTTTTTAAACAAATCTTTTCAATGGGGGACATAATATCCGGTCAGCTCCATTAAGCAAGGGGTAAATATTCCCGAAAATAATAAACCTACAAAAAAACACAAGAGAAAAATTTTGTAGCCCATAAAAAACGCCACAAAAAAGTTCCAGTAAAGTTTCTCGCACCTCCCCCCGATTCCCCAGTATCCCTAAAAAATTCAAGAAGCCTCCGAATTTCAAAGGAAAAAAATCAACACTCAACTCCAATTGTATTTTTCAAAAATTATTTACTCGTTTTCACTTTGTTTACAATAGAAAATGTTGTACAACTCAATCTCTCAGGTGGAGGAACAATCAAGTCCATCAGAAAGTCTTTCTTTCAGTGGAAAAAACACTGCACAGAACAGTCCTCAGACCGCAATAAGTCCCCGAAAGTCCGTAAATTTGATTTGGAGACTCGACTGGAGTCTCAGAGGTTATGAAGGTTAATTGGCACCAGGATTTGTATTCTGGATGAGCGTGATGTTGTCTCCCTTCAGCATAATTCGCCCCAGCTGTTTCCTGGCCTTCGTCTTAACGTGAAATTCCTCGGCGTCATCCAGGACGAGATTCATGTACTCGTCGAAGCCAACGATGTGTCCCTCGATCCTCAGGTTAATATTTTCGAACAACCAAACCTGCACCCTCGAACGATTCTGCAGATACCTGAAGATGAGGTTGATGGGCTGGACCATCACCTTCTGCACCTTCTGAGGCCCTTTGTACGACATCTTCACGGATTTTTCAGATGTTCGAGGTTAGATCACCTGGTGCGTTTGCACGACGCGTGTTTTGATGGATTTTTACTTTCGGAGTAATTGAATTGAAAGGTGAAGTGAGAAATGGCGGCGGCTTCTCAGGGTTCACGAAAATTTTTGGAAGAGAGGAATTCCCTAGGATCCACTAGTCAGTTCTTCAAATTAAATCAAATATATTTAAATTTGATTATGCAATATTACTGGCAATTAATTGATGTAGTTTTAATTTTTTTAATGTGAAAATTTGATTTTTTTACGAAATTTTATGAATCGTCGATCTAGAAATATAAAAATCCCTAGATTTTCGGGGTAGATTCATCTTCCAGCGGCCGACAAGGAAGAAACTCCATGTTCTCAGGCAAAAATGAAAGCCACCAGCAATAGATGGCAGAAGAATTACCCAATTATATATTACGATCGCGTGCATTCCAAATATTATGTCGATCCCATAAATTCCCTCGGGCATAATCGGCATAAACCCGCGAGAAATGCGACATAAAAGGCCATTCAACCCACGAATCACTTAAAAAATTCCACAAAACACATAATAAAGATAATTTTCACTTCACAAGTCATATCCACGCGAAATAAAAAAAATCGGATAGCGAAAAAAATCCGCACGACCTCAAAAACTTCCATAAAAAAAAAAATAGAATGAGCTCTCATAAAAAATAACACAAAGATAATAAAAATTATTATCCAACCAATAAATAAACACTCCAATTACCAATAAATTCAGTCTATCCACGACGGACTAATTACCGTAATGATTAATCCGCGAGAATTCGTGAGAGAAGTGATATTTGAAAATGAAATGAAAATTCCACTGGGCGCGGGAAATAGCGCGAAAAATATGCGGAAATTCTCAGAGTCTCTGAAATGCCCGGAGTGAGTGAGACAGATGATTGAAATTCCGGTCAGGTCTCTGGTATTAAATACGAATGAAAATAATGAAGATTGATGACCCCAGAAATGTCATGTTTTTACGGTACGTACTAGTTGTCGGAGCTTCCGGTGAAAAAGACAAATCAAATCCAGACGCGTCCACGTCAGCACTCCATCTCGTTACCCCTTGGATGAATTTTTAACGCTTGAAACTAATGATATTTGCCATCGAACTAATTTCATCTATATTTTTTATTTCCCTCCCCCTCACGAACAGATGGGCTATTTTTTTATTCGCCTGGGTAATCGATAATTCTGGGTTAGCCGTGATTTAAAACATCCAATATACCTGCCAGTGAGCTGAAAGGCTTTGAGGATACGCTTTTTCTCTCGTCTCGAGGCAATATTGAACATCGGGGTACGATAAATAATTCAGGAACGAGTCTGTACCTTTTCTGGTATAAGGCAGGATTAATTTCAACCCCAAATTGGGGAAATGTCGGGGAGTAGCCGGTGAAAATGAGAGCAGGATGAAATTATTCTGGGACTCTGTCACGTTCAATGAGAACTTCATGCAACAGCTGATTCTATAAATATTTTGCTTCTCAAGTCTCAAGTCTTCAATCCAGAATGATTTTTTATCGTAATTGAAATATTTTTCTTCAGTACAGGTTTAATTTCTCAATTTTTTTGGGAATTCAATCCAGTTCGAGCCATTATATCTCTCAATGTAAGGTAAATATCGCTTTTTTTAATAGAATCTTTTTTGTGGAGTGAATCGAGAACTATAAAATAGGTCTACACTGAATTTTTCGTATCTCTCTTCGATCCGGAGATATTCCCCCGGAACTTTTCGATTTGCAAGATCGACGTGTTATACTCATTACTGAATCTGGATTAATTAATGGAATCGATGTGACGTCCTGGGATCAGATGTGTTTATTTAATTAGAGTGAACGATTTATTGGAGCTAAATAAATAATTCAGAGCTCCAGAGGATTCGAGTGGTTGAGTCACTCGAAATTCTCGTTTCAAAGTAAAAAATTCGTTTGATTTCTCACCGAGGACTCTCTCCTGGGCATCGAGGGCGGCTGTCAGAAGTGCACATGCATTACCAGGACTCAGTGTTGCAGAAACATGTTCCTCGCAGCTACGCCAAAGCTCCTCGACACCCAATTCCTGTGCAAGTGCCAGCATCTCGAAGATACCGCTGTCCTGGAGCATAATCTAAAGAGGAATAAAAAAATTGTGGTTTGAATTCCCTGAACATCTCGTGGTCATCCCCCAGCCAATATCAGTTATTTCAGAGGGTATTTCACCTTGCCAGTGTAGACGTAGTGCATGAATTGCCTGAATGTTTCGGGATGTGCGTGTGGCATTCGGACGGGGGTGGGATTCCCCGATCCTCCGATCCGCTTCGGGGCCGTAAAATTTTTACATCTGGAAATCAATTTTCATGTGAAAATTCCGGGAAATAATGACATTTATTTTTTTTTATCCTAGGTGAAATAGATCGATAACTGATTTTTTTTTGTTTTTGAATTTTTTTGAGGATGATGGCTTTCAAAAAAATTACAAATGACTGAAAAATTGTCGTAATTTCGCAAACGAAAATGCACGAGAAAATGCTTTGTACTGCGTATACATTGCGGGCAAAACGAGGGAATCAATGAGATTTTTTGCCATTCATCCTTGTCCCCGGGGATGAGGAATGAAAGGGCAAGATGAGGTTTAAAGTCGCAGGATTTCCACAGAGATGGGCAGAGAAAAGGGATCTATTGAACGCCGGAGACTTGCTCACAAGCAATATGTAAAGGGACGCATTGAATCAAAAGAAATGTGTCAAAGGCTCCGGGAAAAGCGGCGAATAGTTCATACGTTTGATGGTTGCGTGAGGAAAAAGAAGTTGGAAAATGCGATAGCACGACCTCTCGAGGTGTTTTTTTTTTTCATCGCAGACTCAGTGCACGAGCCTAAAAACACAGTCAGAACACTCAAAATGTTTGAAAAAGAAAAATCAACATGGTTTCACATCAGTCACACGAGTGAGGGGAAACTTCTCACTGGTATTTTTCAACTCTTTGATGCTTTTCAAAAGTCCAACGGAATTCCAACTTCTTGAATTGCCAATGCCACCGCGAAATATTTGAATTAAAGACGCCATTTTTTTCCGAGTTTTTTACGTTTGATGCTTTTTAGGCTTTGAGGAAATCATTCGCCCTTTTCAAACGATGTGATGATGGATTAATTCATGAATAACAATTTTTTTTTCAATTTAATATAACGCATTTTTTAAGCAGTGGTAAAGGGTCTAGGCAATTTTTCAATTTTTCGAAATCTACCATTACCCTGGAAACTACGGGTTAAAACAAAAAACTCTGAAGGACTTTATTGTAGCTGATTAAATTTTCGGTAAAAACAATCTTTTGCTATTTTCCGGTAAAATCAATCGTTTAGTACCAAGCGCTGATTTAAGTGGTGAAAAGGTACGGATGTAAAAAAAATTCAGTGTCCAACTGTAAAAATCGTTCCACCAAAATCCAGAGAATGGTTTCCACCGTGAAACTCAGGAAAACGAACAAAAAATAAATGCAATTATTCCGCCTCAAGTTTACCGTAAAATCTACAAAATACCGCGGGAAATGAGCGAACCATTTGACTCCGGGAGAGAATAGGGAAGTGTAAGCACAAAAAACACCTCCCCCTTCATTTTCTCACCTCTTTCACTCGCTCTGGTTTGTCAGAATCAACTTCGATAACGATTGTGGGTCAATTTTAATGACGCAAGGAGAAAAACCACACCAGGAAGTCGTGCCACCTCACTCTGGGGGAAGGGTGGAATTATTTCCGAGTAGACGTCGGTGTTCGAAAAAAAAAAAAAATGGGATGAGAATGAAAAGAAAAATAGTGGCGCATACGTGGAGGGCTGTACCCTTGCTCTAATCTCAGTACACCAACAGAAAATATCAAAGTTCTTCCTGAATGAAAAAAATAAATATTTACAACTAAAATTGTATCTTCAAGTCATTTCAGAAAAAAAATTAACGCGTCATGTCCAAATGGAAAGTTACCATTTACCATTTTTTTTTCTCTTCATTCACAAAAAAAATATAAATTGTTGTAAATAAAATGATATAAAATAGAGCAATGTGGAAAAATGAATGAATAGATGAATGAATTATTTTTTTATTGCGGAGAGAATTTTTTCCGCTAGTCTCGATGGAATTTAGTGGAAAAAAAAATTGGGAAATGGATGAGTGAGAAATGTTTGGGAAATTTTTATGAATAATTCCTCGCGTCGTTTATCTGTTTTCCAAATATTCTGTGTTGGAAATAAAATGACCAATCTCCCCCTAAAGCTATTACATCAACAATCGGTATCGGGTGGAGCCACCCCCACGGAAAGAGAAACCAGAACAATTGCGGAGGAGAAAGAAAATGATAAAAAAAAAGCCGAGTGGAAGAGCCCTCGGGAGGTTTCGGTGTACCCAAAGACTTTTTCGCGTACTTTTGTTCGGAATCGGTTCGTACTTGACGAATGCACACATTGGACGTGTGTATAATCGTGCTTTGGTCGTTAACCAAACCCAGAGGCGACATTGAACCCTCACCTCTTTTGCCTCCATAAAAAAAACCTCAACCCTCATCAGCCCCTATTCTCTTCTCCCTATTACTCGGCGTTTGAACTCCGCCAATTGTTCGATGCGTCAATGATCATTTTCTATTTGAAACTTTCAACAAGAAATATTTTCCACTGTAAATTTTTGAATTTTCGCGGTTTGGTTTTATGTCAAATTTTTTTTTTTGTGGAATAAACCCAAAAAAGTGGAGACAATCGGAATTACCCCCTCCCATGGCAGGTCGATTCCCCTCAATGCCCTGAAGGCAATGCCAACAATCATAAGGACTCCATTCCCCGAATTCCACAGATGAATATTAATTGAGCCCCTATTATGAGATCCTAATTGATTCGAAGAATTGTAATTAGCCGAGGAACTTTTCACCATTGAATTGGAGTCTGGCCCCATCCTCTGGATAACGTCGAAAGGTTTCGGATGAGATTTTGGTGTAAGAAGGGTCTTAACTTAATTGCTGGAGTCAATCGCACGTACATTTTCGTCACTCGGAATCTTTGATTCTTCAGATGCCACTCGTACCAGGGGAAAGGGAAATGCCAGTGCGATCTGTCGATGAGAGTTTCTTTTGTCCCCTGGTGGAAGTCCTCTTCGACGACCACTTGATACTGAGCAAGAGCTTTTCGATAAATGATGGCTGACGCGTATGTTCCGAGGTAAATCCATTCAACAGGCGAGAACAATGAACGAGGATGTCACCTGGTGCAATGATTATGACAAAGGTTTCGTGTCGATGATGGCTCAACCCCATTGTCAGAGATATTTTTAAAATTTTCGGAGATTTTATTCTGGAGTTTGTTCTTTGTGTTCTTAATGAGTTATGAAAAATGAATTTCATTCATTTTTTATAATTCCCCTCTCCCGATATTTCTTCATAATTTTCATTCCCAAAATTTAATTTCTCGTGAGGAGTTTTAATGGACGAAACAATGGGAGTGAAATTAAGAAAGGAAAGAGTGGAATTTTGAGACATTTCATCGTGATAATTTTTTTTCCCCTGATTTTATTTTATCCACAAGAATTCCACAGGTGATAATAAATCTCGAGAATATCCCGAACGCGTGAAAAATGTTTTTCCCTTGACATCGTCATCCCCAATAATGAAGAATCACGGTCGAAAGTATATTCAATCCCTGGGAAGAATCATGCTTATCTGAAAAGTTTCTAAGTTTTCGATTTTCCAGGGTAAAGTTTCCGGAGTGCCGACCCCGGAGCAAAAGAACGCCGGGACAATCCCCGTGGGAGTAAAACTGGACTGACCTGGCTTGGAGGATTATACGATGGCCATAGACGGGTGTCTCATCCCTTCCAAGGAGAAAAACAATGTCTGCTGAGTCCTTGTCCTCTGAGAGTCTAGCCAGGTCCTCGAGGAGGCGTGGAACACCAGCAAGTCCAGCCTCTCCTAGAACACCCGTTGAACTCGTGCTCGCCCCCACTCCCAACGCTCTAGTCCCCATTTTATTCAACCTAATAAATAAATAAAGACAAATAACAATATGATATTGTCCATCAAATTGCATGAATTAAATTCCTGAATGATGAATGAATTTTCAGAAATTCAGGAAGACTTCCGGGGAGATGTTGACTCCCCGTTTTATTCACCCCGAATTGATGATGGAAAGGGTTAACCCAGTGAAATGGGTACAACGGAGAATACAATGTGATCCGTTAATGCCCGTTAATCCGGAATTGATCGGTGAGGGAATGGGATCGAGTAACACCAGAGGATCGGTGAGAATCCGTGACCGATGACAGTGCCTAATGGCTCTGAAATACCTTGTACACAATCCGCGTCATCCGCGGTAACATATCCGCAATGTGGTGACTCTCCCACAATGAAACACAAGATTAAATGAAAAAGGCTCCGATGCCGATTAAACCGATTAAAACCAAAAGGTTGCCAATTTTTGAATTAATATTCCAGTGAATTCACCAGTTAAATCAAATTTATTGGAACTCATTCGTCGATAATTAATTCACGATTTTCGAAATCATATGAAATTAATTTTCAACCGTCAGTTCTAGATTTTTTATTCTTCATTCTTTTAACTCGAAATTTATCGCGTCGGTGAAATTCGGGAATTATTCTATGGCAAAATATTCACGTGTAATAATACCTGGGAATCCTCACGTGTACTTTGTTGTGATTCTCGGTGAAGGCCGACCGCCTCAACTCATTATCACGGGTTCGACCAAAATTCGTTCGCCCCTCCCCAAAATAATTCAAAATAAAATATCCAATTTCCAAAAAATATGCGATACACAATCCTTCACCTCCCACTCAATGCGCACGCGTTGAATTCAAAAATATGAATAAAAAAGTGAGAGAACAATAAATTGCGTTCACCAATTGAATAAATTTTGCACTCAATCGAAAATCAACACCTCGACAAGTAACTCCTGGTTATCCACCAGAATCACATCTCACAATTGCAGCAATTCCCATTTACCCCAACCGAAATAGGATAATACCACACAGGTACGTTCTCTCGACTCGTCCCTACGGAGCACAAACTCCTGAGAGATCGGTTTCACAAATACACTGTTGCCACATTCTCCACCCCGCACGTATATATTTCGCTCAGATATATCGCCGAGTTGTAAGAAAGACGCGTCCCACAACTAAACCGTGAGTATATCGACCCCGAAGAAGCAGTATATCATATAAAAACAGAACTGCCACGGTTATTGATTCCAAAAATCTCAATAATCCAAAAATTCTTCCAAAGATAGGCCCCTGATATCATTTTTTTTTTCCTCCCGACCGAGAAGAAATTACTGAGGAATCCGGTTCGATCCTCAACGGAATTCGTAATCTTCCCTCGCCCCCCTCCCACCTACGCCGTATTTTAATTGCCTTCACATCCTTGACAATTTTATTATCACCGACCGATAGTAAGACGAATCGAAATAAGAGATCGATGTGACCATCAATCGGTAGATCGCACCCATCATAACCTCAAACCAAGAAATCCACTTATTTTTTCAGTTCAATATTTTACAACGGAGAAGATTCTCCGAATTGATTTTAATTCTCAAGTCGTCACTTTTTTGGAATGTCTTAATTTTTTTCCAACCCTTGAATTGTAATTACCATCAGATGGTAAGACAGAGGTGATCGATAAATCGATCTGTCTCCTAGTTGGTACGGAATAATCTCAAATGATTTCCAATTTGGCGATAATCGATATTCATTTAGGATTTAACGAACCGTAGAACGCAATCAATTGGATTTCATGAAGATTGAGAGTTGCAATGAGATAAAATTGTGTTAAAATGCATGGCGACAGTAATTGCACCGTCAAGACGTACCCTAATGGCTCCGAAGTATGATCTCACCCCCCATTCCATTTTAGACAGATTTCCGGTTGAGTGACTAACGAAATTGTAGCATTTAACGTCAACGAGACCATATTGTACGTCATGGGAATGAAGTTTTAAACAAGTAATATTCAACTGCACGTGACGTGGGCCATTGAGGTCGGTATAAAATTACAGACGTAGTTATTGCCGAATGCGCGATTGAGCGAATAATAAACATGAATTTTCAAGTTTCGGTGATGATAAAGTGGTATGGCAACGAATCCATCTGTATCAATTGTTTCCCACTCGTTATTCATCAACGGGGTTCATCATTTTCCATCCGACAATTGAATCCGTAATCAAGCCTCGAGCACCGCTGATTGCGTGAATCATTTTAAATTAACGGAGCATGCAAATATTTTCGGAACTCAGGGGAGAGGTTGTCATGTTTTTCGTGAATTACATCTACATATTCGGGGTTTACGCAATTTATGGAGTGGGAATTGTACGCACGGAAATGTGATTTCAATGTCTCATTTTGGATTGGTAATGGGTGAATTAATAGATGCGGAAAACATTATGCGACATGCGAAGGAAAGTGGAGTGCGTAAAGTGCAATTTTGCGGTCAGCGGAGTACGCGGAAATTTTTTCGGAAAAAATTTTTAAATCGGTAGAATTTTCGTCTTATGAAAATATTCAACGACACGCCTGTACATTTCTATAGATTAAATTTTATATTGATTACAATAGCGGATAATGACCCTCGCTTCAAATCCCTAACAATTAGCAACAAATCAACAAATGGGAAGTTGTCACACACGTGTGAAAACGGCGACAAAAGGTGTATTTTCTGTAGAACTCACACATCGACAATCTTATTCATGTGAAAGGAGAACTTTGTCTCATTATCATTCATAATAAGTGAATGCAGCAGTTGTACGAAGAAGTAAGAATTACCAACGAAATGCGTCATCTTTCAGCGTGCATTCGGTGGCATTTACAGGAAATAACAGCCCCTGGGCATTGTAGCAGGACTTCATTGACGCCTTCTCACTCCACTTTTTCCATCTTTTTTCATCCATTTCCTCTATTCCTCATTCGTCACCACTTTCTGAACAGTCCATCTCGTTACAACTGCGGAAAACTTGTACCCTCCCTGCGTAATGAATAATTAGAATAAATAATAAAGTGCTAAAAGCCTTCTTCAGTGCAGAAGTTTCAATTGGATCGCAATTATCATGCTGCGAGATTCTGGGGGGGCGTATGACGATCATAACAAGAAGTGAAACCAACCATTAATTGCTGGTAAGTTAATTGTCCAGGATCATCATCATTTTTTCAGCGGATTTGTGGAAAGTACGATTTTACGGACTGATTCGCTCGTTGGGAATTGACTGCTGGAATTCGCTGAAGATTATTAAAAAAATTTTCAACAATTAGAGGCATTTTTTTGGCTTGAATGGGGTAGAGGAGCATGGAGTCGGAAAAAAAAATTGAACGTCAGAGTTCTGTGACCTTTCCACCGCTTATTCCGCTTCCTATTCACCCGCCAAATTTTTTTTTTCCTTCTTATTGTTCAACTTTTCCGTCACTGCCTCTAACCCAACGTAATCCCCTCTTTCAGTAATTCTATTTCCCGCGAAATTTCAGGCCCGGGCACCTTTTGTAGACGAAAAATAAGGCGCACACCAAAGGTTTCACGTTTCCCCTCGCTCACTATTTTTTTTTCACCCATTGTTTTTTTTTCTTTTTCGTCGTTTTTTTTATTTTCACAGCGGTAGCTCAAACGCAAATATTTCAAGGTGAGATTTTCCTCTCTTGTATTCGCGATATTAGTTTCATTGTGCGGGGAGTAACAGTCGATTTGTAGGAGCGGAAATGCCAGAGTGAAATATGACCGACGTGGGTGCTGGTGTATGACTTTTCATACAGAAGAGTTATGGACTCGTGGTGAAGTGCGATGGGGTGATGACGGGCCCATCCTGGGCTGGAAAATCATTTTCGGGGGTTTTGTATTTTATACTGGCAGTAATCACTAGTGTCAGTTCCATTATCACGCCGATTCTAATTTCGATTTTTCCAACCGGAAATGTCGAAATCACTTAGACACGACAAATTTTACTTCACTCGCTGATTTTATCCCGAAACGCCATTTCTATTATTTTTTTTTTATAATTTCCAGTGAATTATTTCTGTGCAGAGGAAAAAAAAAATTCCAGGGGCTCATCCCTGAATTTGAAAATTATCCAGTCATTCTTTAATCAATAACAAGATTAATAATGCACTAATTGGTAAAAAGATATTTCTGTATTTTATTTGCCATTTGAAATAGATAAAAGTAAACGGATAATTAATCCAATGATTGTCAATAAATTGGAAGAGTGAAGTGAAATTATTTTGGACTTGTTTCTCTCGGGATAATTTTGATGTTGTGAAACCGAGGGAAATTCGACTCCTCTGTACAATTTTACCGTACACCGTCCGGGAACAAATGGGATGGCATCGCATTTGCTTTTTCCCCTGGCTATAGTTCGAGACTCATGTAGCGGTCGTTGCTGAATTTCAGAATGAAAGTGACATTATAATGGAAGTGGCATTAGCGGTTTTACCACCCTATAGGATTGTAACGAGAATTGCCAGGAATATTCGTGTCGCCGCCTCTGGAAATTACGACGTGAATTATCATTCGCGGTTTCCGTGGACGCGGTTACCGAGGGGGTTGACAACACTGGGCAATGTTCAATCAATCATAGAACAGTCAAAAATTTTCGATAAAGTATCAGGGGAACATGAGAATCAAAGAGGTATTCACTGAAATTGGAAAATTCGAAATTTTGAATTTTTCAATTTCAGTGATACCTCCATGATTTTCACGCTCCCCTGATATTTTTTCGAAAATTTTGAATTTTTAAATTTCAGTGAATACCTCTTTGATTTTCATGTTCTCCTGATACTTCTTCGAAAATTTTGAATTTTCAAATTTCAGCGAAAACCTCCTTGATTTTCATGTTCCCCTGATACTTTTTCAACAATTTTGAATTTTCAAATTTCAGTGAATACCTCTTTGATTTTCATGTTCTCCTGATACTTCTTCGAAAATTTTGAATTTTCGAATTTCAGTGAATACCTCCTTGACTTTCATGCTCCTCTGATATTTCTTTGAAAATTTTGAATTTTCGAATTTCAGTGAATACCTCCTTGATTTTCATGCTTACCTGATATTTTTTTGAAAATTTTGAATTTTCAAATTCCAGTGAATACCTCCTTGATTTTCATGCTCCCCTGATATTTTTTTGAAAATTTAGAATTTTGAAATTTCAGGGAATATCAATTTCGTAACGCAGAAATTAATATCCACCCCCACCGCTGATTCCTTCAACAGCGCAACTGCTACTGAGGCAGTTACCGAGTCGGCTGTCGGGTAGACACCCCACCACTGCGTACGGCCCACTCCCACTCTTGGGGTGCAGTACTGCGAAGCCAATGGGGTCACTCAAGCCCCCAACGGTGGGGGGCTGTCCGTCAGCCGACTCTGTAACTGCCTCAGTAGCTGTCCCGCAGTTAGACGGATCAGTAGACGGGGTGAATATTATTTGTTGCTTTACGAAATTGGTATTCACTGAAATTTGAAAATTCGAAATTTTTGAAAAAATATCGGGGGAGCATGAAAATGGAGCAGGTATTAACTGAAATGAAAATTTAGAATTTTCAAATTTCAGTGAATACCTCCTTGATTTTCATGCTCCCCTGATATTTTTTTGAAAATTTTGAATTTTCGAATTTCAGTGAATACCTCCTTGATTTTCATGCTCCTCTGATATTTTTTTGAAAATTTTGAATTTTCAAATTTCAGCGAATACCTCCTCGATTATTATGATCGCCTGATATTTTTTTGAAAATTTTGAATTTTCGAATTTCAGTGAATACC